AGCCTCACCAAGTGACTCACTCTCACTGCCTCACTCTCTCACTCACTCACTCAGTGACTCACCCTTACTCTCTTACTGTCTCACTCACTCAGTGTCTCACTCACACACACTGCCTCACCCTCACTCTCTGTCTCACTCACTCACTGCCTCACTCTCACTCTCTCACTCAGTGACTCACTGTTACGCTCTCACTGTCTCACTGACTGTCTCATTTTCACTGTCTCACTGACTTTCTCACTGCTTCACTCTCACTCTCTCACCACCTCACTCACTCACTGCGCGACTCTCACTCTCTGTCATTGTCTCATTCACTCCCTGCCTCACTCTCACTCACTGTCTCATTCACTGACTCACTCTCAGTTTCACTCACACGCACTTACAGCCTCACCAAGTGACTCACTCTCACTGCCTCACTCTCACTCACTGAATCTCACTCTCTCACTGCCTTACTCACTCACTGCCTCTCTCTCTCATTGCCTCAGTCAGTGACTCACTCTCACTCTCTCACTGCCTCTCACTCAATCACTGCCTCTCTCTCTCTCACTGCCTCACTCACGCACTCAGAAAAAGAAAAAAACAAGAAAAACTGAAAAACTAGCCTTGTTCTGGGAGGTCTGCAAGTGTTTGAAGTTCTCTTGTGTGTAAGAATTATATTGATTTTAAAAATCTCTGGATGAGGACAATGTTAGGCCCAGACAGCTTCATGGTCAATCCTACCAACAGTTGAAGAAGAAGTAATGAGTGAAATACCAGCTCTTCTAGATAACAGAGCAGAGCAGAAGAAATACAGGGATCTCATCCCCTGGGGCGCAAACAAGAAAAAGGGAAAGTAAACACAAAAGAAACAAGCAGGAAAACTCAAACCAAAAACCTCAATATTTGTATTTTTCACAGACACATAAATATCATGAACAAAAATTTTTAAGTCATTCGGTAATCAAAGGGTCATCATTATGGCTAAATGTGATTTTTTTCCCCTCCCGATTTCAAATTTGGTGTAATATTTACAAATCAATTAATTCACTACTTTAATTTAGAGAAACAGGGAAGTGAAATCTCTTAGATGTAGAAAATCACTTGACTAAATTAAATGCATTCATGTTAAAATTTCTCATGAAAACTTGGCATGAAAGGGAGCATTCTTAGTTTGATAAAAGTCATCTACCAAAAATTTAGCAGCTGATGTAAAACCTGATTATAAAACCTTTTAGACCCTAAGATTGAGACAAGCTAAGAATCTCCACTTTCATTGCTTTCAATCTGGCTGTGGTGATCCTCATCTCTGCAATGTGGGGAGAAAATGAAATAAAATATGCAGATTGGAAAAAAGGAAATACAATTGTCTTTATTCACAAAAAAGACCATCATTTTGTAGAAAATTTGAGAGAATCAATCGCAGCAAAAAAAATAGCTATTGAACTTATAAGTCAGGCTAGAAAGGTCTCAGGATACTCTACTGAATTTCAAGCCCCATAGATCAGTAGAATACAGCAGAACTCACATATAACTGATTTTTGAGCAAATAAATCCATGGGGGAGAAAAAAGCATTTTCAACAAGTGGATATTAATAACAAAATAAAATGAAAGGCTACCCTTACCTCACACCAGGTATAAAATTTAACTCAAATCAATCGTGGACATGCACGGACATATAACTATTGAAGACTTCTAGAAGAAAATCTATTATCTAGGACATAAGTGCCACAGATGAGAACGAACAATAAATTGGACCTTATCAAAATTGAAAGGTTTTGTTTTTTGGAGAATATTGTTAAGAAATTAAAAAATCAAACCCATAGATTTGAAGATAATATTTGAAAGATACATATCAAATAAAGGATTTCCCTTCCAGAATATATGAAGAACATTAACAAGTCAGCAATTAGAAGGCAAACAGGCTCTTATTAGAAAAGATAAAGATTTGAAGAGATACTTAACAATATTTTGAAAAATATTTTGAAGTGCATTTTAATTTTGAAACACATTATAATGAGGAGATCCCAAAGAAGAGACACTGACGGACAATAAGTACTGGCAAAAATGGATGCTTAACGCCATTAGTCATTGCAAAAGCCCAAACCAAACTTACTTCCATTGAGTCAATTCTGAATCATAGCACCCTTCATAACAGAGCAGAGCTCCTCCTCAGGATTGCCAAGGCTTTAGGGAAGCAGACAGCCTCATCTTTTCTCTGCAGAGTGACTGGTGGGTTTGAACCACCGGACCTTGTGATTATCAGTGTCATGCTTAATCCCCTGTACGACGCCCTCATTGATCATTACTAGGCAAATGGAAATTGAAACAGTGAGATACCTCTACACACCTACTACCATGGCTAATCGTAAACAAACAAAGATCACCTGCTAGCGAGGATACAGGGAAAATCTGTTGCTGTCGGGAATGAGAAAATGGAAATGGAACCGCCAGTCTGGGAAACAACTTAGTAACTCCTTCCACACAAACACTCCCAGCACAACTCAATTATTCCATTTGTGAAAGCAAATGTCCCCAGAAAGATTCACGTGCAAACGCTTATCGCAGCTTTATTCTCCGTAGCCCTAAACTGGAAACAAAGCCAATGTCCATTAACTGGTGAGTGGGTGAACAATTCATGGTACATCCAAACCATGAGATGCTTTTCAGGAATAAAGAGGAACAGATGACTCATGCACACAACAACAGGAATATGTTTTTCAAATGCATTATGCTAAGTGGAAGAATCCGGACTCCAAAGGCTATCTCCTGTCTGGTCCCATTTAGATGGCATTCTGGAAAAGACAAAACTATAGTGAGAGCAAACCCATCAGTGCTTGTCGGGGCTTTGGGGAAGGGGAAGGGTTAAGTACAAGCAAGCCTGGAAAGAATCACTTAGTGCAAGGACAGTGTCAATAAATGTGAGGCAATTTGCTATCTAGCACACTAGGGTGAGCTCAGTGGTGTCAGGACTACTGGGCAGGGACCTGGAGCACCAAGGGCCTATGGTGACACTGAGTCAGTGCAGAAGATACCAGTCCCACACACCACTCAGGAGCTATGGGAAAAACAGGGAACCAGGGTTTCTGGAGTCCCAGGGAGAATGAATTGGCTCCTAACACCCATTGACATTTTCAGCTGTAGCGCTTTGAAGAAACATGAAATATAATTACAAAATCAAGGAAGCTCACACTCGTGCAAGGTAACAACTAACTGCACAAGGCATAGCTTACTTTATCACTTTCCAACACTGATTGCTTATTGACGCCTTCATCAACCAGGACAGGAGGCAACAGATACTGCATTGCATGGAGTGCCCATTCATCCCCACTTTTAAAAGTAAGCCACTCATCAGACTCAAGTGGTGGTACCAAACAAAACCCACTGCTCTGTTGTAAAGTCAATACCCATTCGTAGCGACTTTATAGAATAGCAAAACTGCTCTACGCAGCTTCCAAGACTGTACATTTTTACAGAGGCGGACTGCCTCTTTCTCCTGCAAAGGAGCCTGTCTGCTCAAACAACCCATCTTACAATCGGCAACCCAACACTTAACCCACTGCACCACCGGGACTCCTTCAGATAAAGTCCCTACTGCCAACCCACTGCTACCAAGCTGATTCCAACTCCCTGAATGCCTGGGGGGTTTCGGAGACTGTAAATCTTTACAGTGGAAGACAGCCTCATCTTTTTTGGGGGGATGGCTGATGGGTTTAAACTGCAGGCTTGTGGGTAGCAGCCGAATCCACAGAGCCACTGAAGATGCTTTTAGACAGAGTACTGAAAGGCTAAATGATGTAAACATGGCTTCTTAACTGTTGTTTATTTGATTGCTGAGCTGTCAGTTTTAAGCTAAAGCAATCTCTTATTTTGGTATCCTTCCAGTTAATTATGGTCCAGTGAAAATGAATGATGAATGATGATTTTAATCACTTGTTCTAATTGCTATGAACGGAATCATGTCCCCAAGAAACAATGTGAGTTGTCGTTGTTAATGTTAATGAGACAGGATGAGTGTACCTTGAGTTGGTCTCTTAAAAGAGGAGCGATTCACAAGGAAACAAAGCCAAGAGGGGAGAAGTAAGATGCCAAAGCACAAGAAAACTAGGATTGCCCAGGAGCAGAAGCTAACAGAGACAAGCACCTTCCTCCAGAGCAGACTAGCAGAAAAAGCTTTCCCCACAGTGGCCCTTGAATTTGGACTTTAGCCTCTTAAACAGTGAGAAAATAAATGTCTGTTTCTTAAAGCCACCCCCTTGTGGTATTTCTGTTTCGTTTGTGCTGCTGTTGTGAGGTCCCATGAAGTGAGTTCTGATGCACAGCTGTCCTGCGCAGAACAGAACAAACCAAATACTGCCCAGTCCCCCTTGTTGCAGCCACTGTGTCAACCCAGCTCCTGGACTGTCTTCCTCTCCTAGCCCCGCACTGACCTGCAAGTTCACCAGGCATGATGTCCTTTTCAGCACGAGATAGCTTAGACACTAACGATGAGTGAAAAGGGGATTTCTGATCAAAGTGAACTGTGAGCTCTAGCACATGAGGAGAATTCCATATGGATCTTACTAGCATTTCAGCGTAGACACAGAAAGCTATTATTACACCACTATAATCTCCTGTTTGTTACTTACCCTCTGATTTCTACTTGAGCCACAGCGGTGATGTTGATTTGCAGGCTCACAAAATTGCTGTCTGGATTGTCCTTGTTAGAACTAAAACACAGTGACATGATTTAAGTATGTTTATGAAACATACTATCACAATATATGATCATACAGACCGTTCTGTATGTTCCAAAAACAACACACTTACCAGCCCGATGGTTGAGAAAACAATAGTACATTCATGCAACAAAATCATAACCATTTGTAAACGGGAAGGCCCCAAACGTTAACGACCAAAAGCAATATAGTACCTTTCCATGAAGAGACACTGTATTTGAAAACAACCGCTATCTAAAGAAGCTCACACTGGTTTGTTTTGTTTTAATGGCCAAATCAAAAAGGTATTGGACTGAGTTCATCTTCCAGCTTCTACCCTGGACACATTTTTTACCATCTCTGTGTATCATGTTCATGACTCATCAACTTCGAAAAGACAGCACAGTCAGTTCCTGAGTTTTCATGCTAATAAAGAGGAGAACTGGTATGAGAACCCAGAACAACGCCGGATTCAGAAAGCATTTGCTTTGGGCTCTGGAATGCATCATGCCATACATTGTGTTAACAGCAAATTTATCTTCCTTGCAGTTTATTTCTTAAGTTCATGTTAAAATAAGAAAAGTCACTGTATGCCCACTGGTTGACCAGGACAGGGACAATGAGTGAATTAGGAAGCATGGTCCATGATAAGAATAAGCACGACTCAAAGGAAGCCGGGCAGTCCACCTACAGGCAATTAGGAGAAGACATGGCTGTCTTTGAAGTGCTTCAGAATCTGGAGGTGGAGGATGTATGTTTCATAATATTTCCTTGAATGGTGGCAAATTTATTTTTAGGTGTGCTGTCTGTGTTGCAAGTGAATAGTTTTAGGTGTGAAGCTTAGCATTTGTCAAGCAGGAAGTGTAAGAGAAACAAAGCATGTTGCAGAAGAGCTTCAGCACCAACTGAGCTTCCTCCGATGGGGCTGCCTTTTGTACTGAGTCTCCAACTGTGCTCCGATCAGTCACTCTACCCTCCCAACCGATCAGCCAACTTTCAGCAAGGTTAGCCCTGGCCACAGCATAAGGCTAACAGGTCATGTTTACCTTCTGGGCTCATTAAGAAGAGAAAGAAAGCCTCTTCTCTTTTTCATCATCGAGTCTCACCCCGATTCAATGGGTGCTGATGGTCCTGGGGTATGTTCTGACTAGCTTTCAGAACCTTCCGAGTGTGGGAGCTGGAAAGGATACCATGCTACTCTGCTCTCTAAGGAGGAGGCAGAATGGTTCCCACAACGCTATTTAAAAGTGCTGGTCGATTGTGTATACTGATCAGGCAACTTCCACTACAAACACACATAAAGGCTATAAACAGGAGAATGTCAGGCTCATGTCCTGAAACAGGGTATCACTGGTGAACCTGTGACTGAGCCTAGAGGGGCGGGTTCACCAAAGTTTGAAGCCCAGGTTCCAGGCTACTGGACTATGATTAAATCTGGGAAGGACCAGTCAACTAAAAAGTGTTTTTTCTTTGTTAAGGCAAGAGTTTGAGTTACTAACCACTAAGAAGTCATTAAGTAATTCTAGTTGTTGCAAACATTGTGGTCCAAATACATTATGGGCAACCCTGTAGTTTTGAAACTTAAGTATAATTGTTCCACAGATGAACCAGGATTTGTTCTATTTCTAGTTCATTACTGCTTAGCAGCAGTGGAAATTAGAATTAAGAAAAAAAAGGTTTCATTTACGTTATCACATATTCCTATTGTATCTTGCTTCCCAGTGATTGAAATAAGATGATTTTCATGACTCACAACATCCTGAAAATATAAATAGATGTCAAACACTGAAATTGCCTCTGAAGATGAGTGGAATATGAGGCTCATTTTGAAATACAGTTGCTTTTGAATTATAGCAAAAACAGTGGAAGATTAGAGTCTAAACCTTCTGGTTGGTGATCAGAATCATCTTTCTGCCACAGACTTGCCATAACAGTCGCTACTGCATGCCAGTGCTGTTGGCAAAGTCTTCCTAGCCAGAAAGAAAGCAGACTTATATAACTGAGCTGCTCTCTTGACCTCTTTGCTGGAAGGAAACCTCCCTCACACATGCTACTGCTCCGTGCAAACAAGCAATCCATCACTCGCATTGGTGCTGGACTATTTATACCATCTGTGTTCGTTCTATGTAAAGGAATGAGGAGTTTCCGCTATATGATTATATGTACATCATATAGCAAGGGTAAACAGGTCTTTCACCTATTATGCTTAAGCTATTTTCATTTTTCCTGTTTCCTATTTTTTAACATCCCCCCCTAAGCTTTCGGTGGCCTTGAGATTGGCAGCGAAGATAATGTTATGCTCAGTTCACTTCTGAGGGCGGCGACGTCAAGGATGTTCACAAAAACCTGATTTGTCCCTGAGGTTGCAATCTGAGACCCTCTCTGTACCAAGAGGACAATGTTTACTTATCATGCAGAGAAAGGGCGTGGACAGACCCTCTAATGCAAACATTTAGTAACTCAAGAGAGGGTAAGCTTATTCATTTACAAAGCCTTTTCGTCTTTGGGGCTTTATTTGTAGAAATCAGTATTATGTGTAGCTAATGGTGGTCAACATCTGTCCTGAAGAGTTCAGATTTCAGAGCAATTTGGTTTGTTGTTTAAACTCATTTAAATGGAATGGAAAGTATCCACTAAATATTTGTATACACTTTGGAGTCTGACAGTAAAACATACAGATAAATGCTGCCCTCACAAACATCTTTTAAAAGAACATTCTTAAATATTTTTACCACTATAATATAGGTTTTGAATTGGATGTTTCACCTATATTCCTGTTGACTCTCCAGGTCTTTCAATATCCCTGACTTTTTATATCTTTCAGAACAATGTCAAGAGTTCCTTTTAGCCTCTAAAGGATGGGGCATAATTACAAAAGATTCTTTTACATAAAGGCGAATGATTGTATTTTAATGACTATTATTTACTTTGCATCAAATTCAGCATTTCATTATTGCTATGATGATCTACCGCAGGTGTGGGGAATGGTCCTTGGGCCATAGAAGGCCTATGAGAGATTCCTAGAATGGACCAGGGGTGACACAATGCACGCATGAAAATTCTTCCTAGATTTAAACTAGAGGAAAGTTATGACCCGGAGTTGTAACATCACATATTATAACATCACGTGCCTCAGCAAACAGAAACTGTCTCAGCCATCACAGTCGGGGTTAATTAAATGACGAAATATAGCAGGCTACTTTTTAAGTTGATAATTTGTATGGTCCGCTAATGATGTGATAAACATCCAAAAGCCATCGGTAGGAAAGAGGTTCCCCACTCTGAGCTACTTATTGAATGTGGGGAACACCTTTAGAACATGATTTTCTCTCGCTCGCTGCTGGAGTGAACTACTAGTTGTATCCATGTTCTTACCAACCATAAAATCGGGGACCAACTGTAAGAAGATGGAATAAAGGAATTTACGTCTTAACTTGGCACCATATGTTCTGCAAACAGCTCTGTACTCTGATGACAGCGGTGGTTTTCCCCACATGACCTACCGCTCCCCGCCATGGCAGGATCACCGGCACAAACAACAACAATGAGAAATCTGAAAATAAAGTTACTAACTGAACTTGGGGTAGCTCTTCCCTACAGATTTTTCTTTTTTTCTTTTTTTATCCTGCAAACTTAAGAAATATAAGGGAGGATTCCCCCCAGTGAAAATGTTTAGGACTTCCTGAACCTGTGTGAAATAGATACATTTATGTAGACACCAATAAGTGATTTAATAAACTTTTGATAAATGGAAGAGGACTACAGAATTCATTCTATCTGCAACCTATCACTAACCAGGACAAAAGACTCTTAAGATTGAGCAGTAAAGAATGTAAGTTACATTTAAGAAAGACCGGATTAAGGTCAGAAACTGAAGATAAGTTAGGAGACCCAGCACAAAGTTTGGGGAAGGGAGCTGTTTTGACACAGGACGTAGATGTGTACATATTTATAGTCCTTTCTAAAAAAACTTTGTTACCTTCTTGGGAATTTATAGATTTTTTTTTTTAAAGATCCCAAATACTCTATTTGAAATAACTATTAAAAATAATCTTTTGCATGGTCATTTTCAGCGTTATCACATGATAATGACATTTCTTCCTGCAGACAATCAGTTAATTATTTAGAGATTAACTGCACAGCACGCTAGAATTCCAAAACCCTGTTGTAGATACTGTCTTCATGGTTGTTTAGCACATTAGTGTTTTTAAACATTTAAAAATGTAACCTACCGAGAACATATACTTCTGACTGGATGTCTTAGCTCATATATTTACATCTGTCTGAAAGGAATGATCCATGAGCACTGGTTATGTTCCGTTCCCTTCCGTTTCCTTTTAGTTTAATAAAAGGTCTAGATCCATTCTACTGATTCATTATTTGTAAGAGGTGGAAGCCCATAGTTAGAAAACCCCAGTTGTAGCCAACATGCCACACTGTTGTCTTAGGGGCTTCTAACCCATGAACTATTATTTTAGGCTATGAAGAGAGTGAATCTCTGAGTAGATTAAAGTTTAGAAAAGGAAGCTATATCCCTGGGTGGTCCAGCTTGTAGCCGCTAGAGAAGGCCTGCCCACCAATGTAATGATGTCTCACCCACGTCCTACCAGAGTGCTGGCAATTCAGTTGTTCTCATCTTGAATTTTAGGGGATTGCCAGATTGCAAATGCAAAGTCCATGCTTTTTGGGCAGAACCTTTGTTCTCCGAGATTAGCCCATACCTAGCTGAGAGCCAAAGGCGGCTGTCCTGGAAGGAGGAGGAGGCAGGCATCTCAGAACAGGGAGAAGCAGAGGTGAAGGGGAGCTGAGAGGGTGCCTGTGACAAATTCTTACTACTGCAGACCTTGACGTAGATAGTGGAAATCATAATTGAGAAACGCAAAGAGAGCTGTCAAAGTTTGGGATCTGATGTCAGAAGGGCTTTTAAGGTGAAGGCATTTGACAAGAGACACCCATCCTGCCATTGAGCTCCTTAAAGCAGAGGGCTGCGGATAATTGAAAGATGGAAAGTCTAACCTTCTGATTTGGAGATCGAAGTGAATGCTCATGTTTGTTTTCTCAAGACGTGGAACTGCAAATCGGAGGCCCAGAAAATGCTAAGGAGAAAAAATAACAACACAAAAGATATAAAATTATCAGACGGATGGGACTTTACGTACTGCATAAAATTTGCTTAAAGTTGTCCCTGCAAAACTCCTAACCCCAGCTCACTGTAACTGTCACCTTGTCTGTTCCTGTCTGGTGCCAGAGCACCCCGAGAAACAATGCAAGCAGACACGGGCTCAGACCATTTGGGTTGCTGAACACTTTGGCTTCCTCTCTTCCTTAGCCCCTGGATGGTACAAATGGTTAAGGAGCTTGGCTCCTAAGCAAATTATTGCAAATTCAAGCCCACCCACAAGAACCTTGAGAGAAAGACCTGAAAACCTACTTTTGAAAAAAATACACATCAGCCATTAAAAACCCTATCGAGCACAGTACTGTTCTGATCCACATGGGATTTCCCCAAGTCAACTCGATGCCCACTGGTGGTGTTCTCTTTCTCCCTATGTACACCCCGCACGCTTCCCTCCCTAACACTATTTTAAGATGTGTGTCAAAGTGAGTCCACATACCCAAGAGGATTCAAACAACTATGATGCTTCTATTGGATGACCTTTATGTTGTCATTGAAATTACTGTTGTGAAGTCTTTGCAATCATGGGAAATGCTTATCAAGTAATAATGCTAAAGGAGAAAAAGATTATAGAATTGTATGTACAAGTGTTTCGACAATAATTCCATAACCTACAGATGGACAACATCTTTATGGGAGTGAGAGTGTACTATAATAAATAGTATTACAATAATAAATTAAATTATTACAATAAATTACAATAATGTTAAATCTAGGAGTGGGTGGATTATTTCTTCTACTGTTTGTTTTCTAAAGTCTTAAAAATGCTTTTATTATTTTTATAATTTAGAAAACTGTTTAAAAATTGGCAAAAGTAAGCCTAAGGCCAATACAAATAAGGAAGTAAAAGTAATAGCTAATGCATATGTGAACACACATATTTGTGCTTGTATGCATAGCATATAGAAAACCATATACTCACTCTTTCATAAGCTGGGGTTTAGATCTCTGCAATCTGACTCCCAAACCTGCACCCACAGCACTTAGACTGTGAGACAAACCCGTTCTATAAACTATTGTTAAAATGAGCCAATAATAATATGAAGCCAGATAAGTGATTCCTTGATTCTACGTCGTCCTGGTCCGGAGTCCCTTCACGAACGTGCCATGATGGAGGCGCGGTGCTGGAAGCTTTATAGACGGCAGTCATTCTGCCGGAGAGCTGTGGTTCCCGCAAGCTCTTCCAGCTGATCAACGTCAAAGCTGCGACTTTAAAAGCCAGATTTGTCTAATGATACAGCCTGCGATCCTTCCATCCCGGCCATAGGAATTCTTTCCTAATTCCAAATGTGCAAACTCCTATCAGGTTGCTAGAACTTTGCACATGCTCTTCTCTAGCCTTTGAAGGGCCTTCACCTTTTTGGCTTCTTCCACTTGAAGAATTGCTACTCAGGCTTTAAAGTTCTGGACAAGAGGGGGCTCCTGCAACCTATCCTCCACTCCCACAGGCTGGTTCAGGCAGAAGTTTTTTCTTGAACTTCTTTTTTCTTGAGTGTTTTCTCATCAACCAATCCATGGTGTTAACAGCATGCGTTGTTATATAGTGGGATAGTTTCACCTTTATATTGTCAAGTGGAGGGATGCACCAAGTATTGTTAAAAGATGACAGAAATATAATTCTGCAGTTGCTGCTTCTATATATCCAGTGATGGTAATCTCATTATCAAGTTATCAATTCTGCTCAGTGCGGTTTTCATTACAGAACAATTCAGCATAGGCTAAAGTTATGATGGAGTGATGATTTTCTTCTGTGGACACGGGGGTTTTGACTACCAAGTAACAGTGACCTGGGTATGGATTCTAAAAAGCCTATGCTGAGCCACCAAATTTGTGTTATCCTGCTTGAAAGAGTTTGGATGTTTTAATAACTTTTATTAGCATATAAACATTTTATATTAGTATAGGCACAACTTGAAAATTAATGTTATTACTTAAAAACCTTAAAATAAACTTCTGTATGTTATTTTGAAGACTTTAAGTTAAAGTAAAAAAGTCATTTAAACGCTACTTTAAAAATATGTAGGGGGCAGGAATAACTATTCTTAGCTATTTAATGCTTTGTTTTCATGTTTTTTACTGCTCTTGCAGTTTGGGGTTTGCTATCATCCATCGACAGTATGCCATTTAAACTACAAAATGAAGACATGAATAAATCAAAGTGTTTTATAACAAAACAGAACGCAATAAAATGTGATGTGTTTATGGCCATTAAAGGGTGAGATAAGAAAGCTATTAGGTTTCTTCTACTATGGACCTTAGAGATAAACAAATATAAACAACCTACTTCCTTAATTCCCAAAGATTATTTTACTGGTAAAATGGATTGACATCTTTTCACATAAACCCACCGTGGCTAAGACCCCACTGTCATGTGTACCCTCCGCCTTAAATGACAGCGGCGGCCAGTTGAGTTATAAAACTTTTGATGATCTTTGATGGTATCTGATCTAGATCCAAACAGCTTTGCTTTCCCCGTCATTTCTCTCGGACCTGAAGTAGCTACCTTTATAGCAAACTAGGTAGTAGTTGGCGTTACTTATTAATTTTAAAACTAGCAAAAAGATTCTTTAGCTTCTTGCGCACAGAATTAACGTGAGAAAGGTTCTACACTAATACCTCTCCTCAGACATCCTGTTTTTCACCTGTTATGACTTTACTTTTCCCTAATTAAAATTTCACAATTTCACAGGCTGTTTGGGAGCCTGGGCTTTATGGTTAAAGCTGGTTCAAGTCCTGATTCCTTATGGCTTGTGTGACTGAATCTGTGTGTTCATTCAGAAAATAAAGGGAAGGCATGGCTCACAGGGTTGTTGGGGAAATTAAATGGAAAAAAAAAAAAAAACATTCAAAAAGCACCCGGTGAGGGGTTTATAATACAAATGATAATCAGTAAACAGTTCAAAATCAAACCAAACCCATCGCTATCGAGTGAATTCTGACTATAAGTGCCCCAGGAGGAGAGAGGAGAACTGTGTCTGTGGGTTTCCCAAACAGTAATTCTTTACGACAGCAGCAAGCCTCATCTTTCTGGCACAGGGCAGCTGGAGGGTTCCTATCCCTGACCTTGTGTTCAGCTGCCCAACGCATCCTGCCTCCAGGGCTCCTCAGTCAATGTGTGGTAACGACGAATAAATCTGCTGTAAGAATTCACTTTTCACTGAACCAGCCCACTGTGGGGATCAGAACCAGGAAGAGAGCATTTGTGGACAAATTCTCTACATTCATACAATAAGGAGTCTGGGAGCCTGGGGCTCCGGTGGAGGGAGACCTCCACGTTTGTAGGTTGGAGATGCATTCCAATCATATTCTCCTGAGTAACAGTTATTCCCCAGATGTCCCCCCCCCCCATAATAATGCCAATTTTAAGGTATAACTTGCAAGCACATGGTTGCTACTATATACGCTTTAAGGTCAACTGCTTGAAGGCTACTTGCCTGAAAGTTGTCTTCCAAGGAATGCAATCAGTCCCTACTGTCTATCCCATGCTAAGCAGGGTCCACTCCTTTCTGATAAGGGGCATAGATTGTACCCCTGTAGAAGAGCTCAGGGCCACGGAAGGTCAAGCCAGCTCAGAGATGATCAAGGTTAGGCTGCCATCTTGACTCTAGAATCTGCCCACATTATGTATGTACCCACCTCCCCTTCCTATTGTGGGCATACCTCTATAATCGACCCTTTCAGGTTACCTGTATCCCTATAAAACAATGGTTCTCAACCTTCCTAATGCTGTGACCCTTTAATATAGTTCCTCATGTGGTGGTGACCCCCCAACCATAAAATTATTTTCATTGCTACTTCATCACTGTAATTTTGCTACTGTTATGAATCGTCATGTAAATATCTGATATGCAGGATGTATTTTCATTGTTACATAGTCTATTGATTACTTTGTAAGTATATATTGTGCAATATTTATTTCTAATGACAAATAAATGAAATGTTGTCTTGAAACGTGGGGTAGCATGGGTAACAGTCTTCACGCAGGTACTCATATGTGGGTGTATCTCTATGTAGGTGGACCCACCTGGAGATGGATGGATAGAGGGGCGGTGTCTCTGTTCCTAAGACCAATGTGTTTTCTGATGGTCTTGGGCAACCCCTGTGAAAGGCGACCGCCCCAAAAGGGGTCGCAACTCACAGGTTGAGAACCACTGCTCTAATCCATCCCTGTTATGTACATGCTTATGTACATGCTTACTGTACTGTTATGTACATGCCCAAGATTATGTAAGCTCATAATTCCTGTTATGTACATGCTTACTGTACTGTTAAGCTCATAATTCCTGTTATCATAATTACTGTTCTGTACATGTACATATTGTTATGTACTGTACTGCTATGTACATGCCCAAGATTATGTAAGCTCATGAGAGAATGCATTACTGCCTCATTCTAGTTCCAGTTGTCAGGGAAGAGGTGAGCCCTTGCATGCTTTATCTTGTCATACATCGCAATGTGAATACGTATCACTGTACTTTCATAAGATAAATTGATGATCTCCATATAATCCTGAATGGAAACTTTTCTAAACCTGGAAACAAAGCAAACCCAAAGCAACTCCTTCGTCTTTTGCAAGCATCTTACAAATCTTTATATTTTTTGCTTCACTCTACAAATAATTTCTTGTGTTATTCTTCAACTAAGATACATGGGAACTATAGGATTGATAAAGCTGATTAAAAATGGATTATGATAATTATCTTTATATGAAAATACTGTGAATGGTATTCATAAGGGAAGCTCATATGGAAATAAAAGTTAATTTATTCATCTATGCTAAAACTTGCTTTAGTCGTGTTATTTCTTAAGTCCTTTATATGGCATTTCTTCTAAATTCAATGAAAACCTGTAATACAATGTACAGGAAACAAATTTTTTTAAATTATAGTGAAACATTTTGCATATATTTTGTATCAATTTTAGAAGTACCTCAGAAGAGGCAGCATAGAAAGATACTTGAAATTTTGTGTTTTTAACCTTAGCTAGTCACACTCTGTGTAGGCTCTAATGGTCAATCCCAGTGCCCTGATAATTTCCTGCCTAATTTGTTTTATTTGCTGTGTGTTAAACTGTTGAGTGCTAATTGGGTAGCTTTCCATGAGTTCCCTTTAAAATTCAATTAGGTAGAAATCAGTCCCTGTTTTTGGTTTTCTCTTACATTTGTTCCAGCCACCATAGGGTTCCCGAGGTCACACACCACCGTTCTGGTCACATTTTCCATTTTGTACTCACAGCTCAGTGGCCGCAGTCCCTGCAAAGGGAGAGAACACCGGCATGAGGTTCAGAGGGCAAACTAAATCACATCCTGCCACAGAAGCGACTCTGAGGGCCTGGGAAAGCTGCCCTTGATTCCAGACACCTGTGCGAGGAGCAAGGCACAGGAACTCATTTGTGGTTGTCAGCTCAGATGAGAAAATGGAGAGGGAGAGAGAGAGAGATGCAAGTTTAGAGAGAAATTTGTTGGACTGATTTACATGCCTCTCTTCTTTCACTAAGTAAGAAATTGCGTAATGACTTTATCTCTGACTGTTAGTACGGACTCTTTACACTAATGTTAATGTAAACCCGGGCACAGAAGGAGTTGCTTATGTTCATCTTAGGATAATGACATAATAATAGTATGCATGTATGATCAGAGGACGCAATGACCATACAAACATTCATGTCTACAGTCTAGGGCTGATGGTTCCATTATGAGAATCCATAATCAAGCTTAAAGATTCAGTCCTCAATTCAAGGGGGCTTCAAAAACATTGTGGAAGAAATGGAATTAAAAGATCATGCAATTTTCCCATGAACTGTTGAGTCCCCTGTGTATCTAAGATGTGAAGAAAACACCTTCATGTTTTACCCAGAGCTTCCTGTCTTCCTTGTTGTCCTACCTTCTGTTTAGCTCAATGTTTTAAAATAATTCAAATGTGTGCTTACAATGTAACGTGACTGTCAAAGTTTTGACAGACCAGCGAGGGAAACAAAGGAGAGCTAGGGTTGAACCACTGCCCTCTGCTCCCTCCCCTGGTGTCCTCCGGTCCCTCCTGAAGTTCAGAGACCCACACCTGGACCTCCACCCCCAACCTCCTTCCAAACCTCAACACTGAATGGCCACATGGCTCTGCTCTGCTGTTGGTGATGTTGTTTTGTGCCATTAAGTTGATTCTGACTAGAGGGACCTCGTGTGACAGAGAAGATTTTCTAAGCTGGAATCTTCATGGTAGCAGATCCATAGGTCTCTCTCCCCTGAGCCACTGCAGGAGGAGGGAGGGGGGCCTTGAACCACCAACTCTTCAGTTAGCAGTCAAGTGTTTAGCTGCTGAGACACTAAGCTCTTTGCTTTTACTGATATTACTGCCACTGTGTTGACTCTGACTCATAGGGGCCCTATAAGACAGGGTAAAACGGCCCCTGTGGGTTTCTGAGACTTTAAATCTTTAAAAAGGGGTGGGGTGGGGGGTTGACACAGGGCCATAGTATCAAGAGTTCCACCACTCATATTTTAATTCCATTTATTTTCCCACAAACATTTTGAAGTCCTGTGACATGCCATAAAAACACCATTGATATTTGGAAGCACTGTTTAATAAATGTTCTCTTCAAATACCCTGCCTGATAATGTAAGAATCCTGAAGAAGCTGAGAATAGATTTTCCAAAAACGAACAACGTTCTCTTTTTCAGAAGGAAGGCATCTCAGTGCGTGCAGCTCTGACAGAGCCACCCTAAGTGGGTGGCGTTAACCAACAGAACTTCTTTGCTCACAGCTTAGAAGGCCCGAAGTCTGGAGGCAGAGCGCCAGCTCTATGGAAGGTTTCCTTTCTGCGGCCTCTGGGGGAAGGGCTTGTCCTGTCACCTTCTGCCTTTCCTGGCTGACTTGGCTTCTGCTTTTTTCTTTCACATTTAATGCACCCATGTAAATAGGGCACATGTGCATATTCATATATACAACATGCATATGAAACAATTGTGCAAAGGGGTTGCCTGGCTTCACATAACTGTAAAGTGCATTGTTTGTGTCAAACAGTGCTTCCCAAAGTGGGAGATACTGATTCCTGTGGGTGGGAGAGCTGGCATGATTCAGGGTGCTATAAAAGCAGATACTATACTTTATCCTGGATTGTGGGCTATAGCAGAACATTTGTAATTGCCAGGAGGGCACCGAGTAGTTTTTGTTCTATAACAAATATTTTCAGTCTTATCTAAAGGTATAAATCTATATATATTCAGCCTTCTAGAAATAGTTTTATGGTATCTATGAAAAATGTTCTCTCCTCCCTCATCCCCCAACTACTCTCATACCTTTCCTTTTTTTAACCTTTATTTTCTTTCTCTGAATGGAAGAATACTTACTTTGCTAGATTATTTACCTTCGTTCTTCCAGGACATCCTCGTTAGAATCCATTTATAGTTCTTTGGGTATAAATTTCAATAAAACTTACTGTGCTTCTGCTATTTATTCTTAAGAAACAAACATATGAACTCATTTCCACTGAGTTCATGCTGACTTATAGTGACCCTGAAGGACAGGGTGAACTGCCCCTGTGCGTTTTGGAGAGTGTGGCTCTTTAGTGGAGTAGAAAGCACTGTCTGTCTCCTGAGATGCAGCTGCTGGTTTCGAACAGTGGATAGCAACTCAACGCGCAACCACTATGCCACCAGGGATCCTTAGAAAAATTCCCTGGAATCAAGTCAATGACTCATAGTGAGCCTACAGTGCAGACTAGAACTGCCTTTGTGAGTAAATCCTTCATGGGAGTAGAAAGCCCCATGTTTCTCCCACCAGCTGTCTAGGCACTGATTGCTAGAACTGAAAAGAAATTTGGTTCTGCTAGATTGTAGTATGTACATACAGTTCAGTTCCACTGCATTGCCTTCAACTCGCCTCATTCCACTAGCATCATTTGATGGCTCTTTTACAGTTCCCTCCCTATTTTGTTTTTCCAAAGTTTTCCCCCTAACAAAATCATGGCAAATTTAATCCCCCCATCGCCTTTGCTTCTTGGGGGACTCTGACACTACAACTTTTCAAAGGAAAATTTGTGAATAACTATAGAGCCCTGATGGAGTAGTGGTTCCATTTTGGGCTACAATCTGCAAGGTCAGCGGTTTGAAACCACCAACCACTCAGAGGAAGTAAGACAGGGTTATCTACTCCTGTGAAGAGTTCGTCTCATAAACTCACTGGGGCAGTTCTACCACGCGCACTAAGGCTGCCATGAGCTGGGATTGACTTGATGGCAGTGAGTGTGGGTTTTTTTGGTTATAGAGATAAGGGAGCATATGAGAAGATATGTGTGGTCAAGAGAAGATTATATGATTGTTGGGGTACACTGTATTTTCCAAAGCACACTGTATTTCCAAGATATTGTAAACAACAATATCTCCCATTCCATATGCCCTTTTTAATTATGTGACTTTGACATTCCGACCAGCAAATGGGAGGGGGATATCTGCCTGAGCCCAGATAGGCCTTAACTGAGAGCATAAAGCAGACATGGTGCTGTGGAATTTTGAGGCTAGATAATAAAAATGCTTCCAACATACTTTTTCAGGACAACACCTCTTGGTACCCAGCTGCCATATGTGTGGTCTCCCAGAGAGCCCTCATGAAGAGGTCACGCGAACAGGTCATCTGTAGGCTTTTTGACTGACAGTTCAGCTGAGGTCCTTGCTGAGAAATTGAGAATCAGTATTGATCCAAGACTTGTGCGTGGAGGTGGTACCTGATGACTCGTGCTTCTCGACACTGAGTCACCCCCAGCCTTTGAGTTTCCTCCATTGAGGACCCAAACATTGTAAAGCAGAGAGAGCCCATCTCCTCTGTGCCCTTGCTAAACTCCTAACCGAGAGAATCTGTGATAAAACAATTGTGTTTTGCCAGTAGAAGAGGGAGCAAGTGGAAGGGGGCTGGGACTCAGATTACAGGCCGAATGTCTATGGGTAGCATGTAGGATGGAAGATGTGGATGCTGATGTTTGATAGGCATAAAGGCCTATAAAGATATTGTGGAATTATGGTGGTGAATTTGCAATTAAAATAGAGTTCATATTCTAAAATGTTTTACTGTTTATCAGACAACAATATTCTGAATTTGTAAAGACTTTGAATAAATCCTTTTGTTCTTTAATAAGATAAAGCACTTAGGCTTTTATTACTAGAAAAAAAATAGGGTAAGTATCAAACACCAAACCAAACTCCTCACCATTGAGTCAATTCTGACTGCACACAGACCCTAAAAGATAGGTAGACCTGCCCCTGTAGGGTCCCAGACTGTAACTCTTTATGGGATTAGAAAGTCTCTTTTTCTCCTGAGGATAAGTATAAAGCCTGACTAAATTAAGGTCTATAAAGAAAAAGATAATCAGCATCTATAATTTCTAAAATATGAGCATTTTAACAAAAGAAAAATAAACTTCATAATCAGATAATCCCTGATGTCTTTTCCCTTGAGAGAGAGAGAAGAAAAAAAAACCACCCCAAAACATTTAAGAATATGAATTGGGTAGAAGTAAAATAGTACACAAACCTCAAACTGCTTAAAGACAAAGAGGAAATGAGAATGTGGCTTACTCATGCCCAATTCAGAGACTGAGCTAAATCTCTCCCCAAGGGAAATGGGTAGAATTAAACAGTTCAGCTCTCTCATTTGCGATGATGGATGATGGCTGCTGTAAGCCAGGGATGGAACTGATAAGGACTCTCATGTTTTCCAGGCACCAAAGTAAACAGTAAACGTGATGTTATGCTAAACACAGAACGTTTTTAGAATAGATGCTTTGTTTCATGAAGTCGGAGGTGGGGGCAAAAGGTGGGGGGCGTCAGCAAGAGGGGCAGAGTAATAGTAAAATGAAATATAAATATGAATGGAGCCCTGAAACTTTAAAAAAAGTAACACACTTGAGCTTCATCTTTGTGATTGCTCCTGCATAATTTGCATCTGAATTTTGGGATTAAGTAATCAAACCAAAACAAGCCAAACCGAACCCCCTGCCTTAGAATCAATCACAATTCATAGAGACCCTCTAAGGACAGAGTAAACTGTTTGAGAGGATTTCTAAGGCTGTAAATCGTTAAGGCAGCAGACAACCCGACCTTTCTCCTGCTGAGTGGCTGGTGAGTTTGAGCTTCTGAATCTTCAGTTATAAGCCTGATGCTTAACCTGCTATGTCACCAGGGCCCCTGAGGATCAAGTCACAAGGCCTTCAAATACATGAACACTTGGCATTTTGTTTTTTTTAAATAAAACAAAATCCACTCAAACTTATCCCTCATCACGATCATGGTTGATTATTGTAACGTGGCCATCCCTCCCTAGTGTTCCGTTTATAGACTTATCTATTATATGGCGGTGCTGTGGGGTGCACAATGGACTGGTATACCTAATGGCAACAGTTCAAGCTCCTTAGTCATTCTAAGGGAGAAAGAGGAGGCTAAGTGCTTCCTGATAGCCCCAGAACCCTCTCCAGGGTTGTTGTGAGTCAAGTTGGACACGACAGCAATGACGTTGGGGATCTTGTTGGGCTGAACATTGAGTCACATTGTGAGTTCTGTCTAAGATTTGAAGGCGACAAGGACCACAGTCTTGGAAATCCCACCCATCATTATCTGACCAGTAAGCCTGGTTGCCTTTTAAATATTTAATGAGAAGATAATTTGACCAAATTATAAACTACAAGACTAGATGTATAAATAGTGGGTTTTGCATTCCCTTGTTAAAAAATGCCTTTAACATACCAACATCACAGCAGGGCTGTTTAATTAATTAAACAACCCCTTTTTAAAAACTAATAAATACAAGGAAGCGACCAGGCAGGAGAGGCAGAGGGAGTCTTGCCTACCCACAGAAAGCCAAGTCCCTAGGGAGCCCTCCCTCTTGCCAGCCCCCACTACTAAATAACTGCCCTCCCCATGCCCACAAGCTTCGGGGGTTGGGGAGGTGTCCCCAGGCCCTAGGCACAGGAGCATCTGAGAAGAGTTGGGGTCCCCAGTCTTATCACCAGCCAGAAACATCTAAAACCCACAAAGGAACATAGGGTCCCTGTCCCCCACCCACTCCTGGGGGCCTAAGGCATCAGCACTATCAGCTGCCAAAGAGAAGGGTTTGGGGGGGGCCCAGTGGAAGGCCCCAGGGGAGGGTTTGGGCCAGCCTTTAAGAAGCCCAGCTTCTCAAGTCTCCTCCACAGCAGTTTTAGATACTTCTTTAGGGCTGTTGCTATTAAATTACATAATCATTACAATGCTGCAAGCTCCTCAGAGTACGCGATATTTGGGAAGTGGTAGGTATTTGATAAATTTCTGTTAAATTAATTACCCCATCAGCAAATATTTAAGGAGCACTATGGTATGTATGCCTAAGAAGAACTGGTGGTAGAATGGTAATGCCTGGGCTGCTAACTGAAAGGTCAGCAGTTCAAAGCTACCAGCTGCTCTGCAGAAGCAAAAAATGAGATTTTCTACTCCAGTCAAGAATTACCATCTCAGAAACCCACAAGGGAGCCTTTGTGGTGGATTGCCTAAGCACCCAGATGCTAACCGAAAGGTCAGCAGTTCAAACTCAACAGCCACTATGCAAGAGGAAGAAGAGGCGGGCAGCTTCCATAAAGATGGCAGGCTTGGAAGCCCTATGGGGCAGTCCTACTCTGTCAGACTGGATGGAAATGAGTTGGAATCAACCATTGGAATGGGTATAGATGGGATGATGTGCCTAGAGTCTGTAGGGTGGTAGAAATGGTTAAGCACTCATCGACTAACAGAAAGATGGGCAGTCTGAACCCTGAGACTGGGGGAGGAAGCCCTGCAGGCAGCTTCTGGAAGGTTACAGCCATTCAAAGGGGCTGCCATCAATCAGAATGGATGACATGGCACCTAGCTTGGCTTTTCAGTTTATGACATGCCTAGTTTTGGGTCCATACAGCGATGAACAGAAAAGAAACATTAAGCTTGGTCCGTGCCTTTTAATTCTGAGTCTACATATTTCTGGAAACGAGGAACACTCACTACTATTCTAGAATGCTTTTATTCTGGTTTTCTAGATTAAGTGATGCAAAACAGACCCTGAGGATCCTCTGCATGGAAAGATGAATGTTGTGATAATGAGAGGAAAGACTATAAATAGCATCAGTGTCAGTGGCAAGTGAGGAGACTCGACTTGTCTGATTACAATCCCCAAAAGGTGGGTCTCGGATGGAAGAAAAACGGACACATTTTCTTCCCTGCACGTCTCTAGCCTGTTATCAGTGCTCAGCGGGAGTTGGATTGGCCTTCACCCATAAACAGCAATGGAAACCAGGCCTCGGTCACCGGCCTGAAACTCAAACTCAAAATGAGGCTTGAAAAGCTAGTGAGGTAGTCTGCCTAGCGCTATGTTAGGCGGCTTCTTTCAGTTTGCTTTCTTTCTAGGTCCATCTGTCCATCTTTGGTCAATTTATCTCTGCACTGTAACAAAGGAGGAAGTCCCTGAGCGGTGCGCATGGTTAACACGCTACGCTGGCTGCTAACAACAAGGAGGGACCTTTGAGTCTACTCAGAGAGGCTCCTTGGAAGAAAGACCTGGTGATCAACTTCCGAAGCAGCAGCTACTTCGTCAGAATGAACCACATTTCTTTGACACCCGGGGCAGCACCAGGAGCCGGGTGGACTCAACAGTAGCTGGCAACAGCGTGTCAAAGGCCGACATGCACACTGCTCACACCTTTCCCTCTGCTGGGCTCACTGCTGTGCTGTCATCATTAACAAAGGAACAGGCCTTTCATCCTCCTTCATTTAGGAAGAAATGCTCATCAGAGGTCACCTGACTCTTAACATTTGCTTGATTTGAACGCGATCCCTCAGTCTCTCCGGCTTCAAACCATTGTTGGCAGACGTTACCTTGTGGTTGCGCTCAATCCCAACATAATCAGCCTCTTCTGGGATCGTTACAAGGAGTTCCGCTTCGTAGGCTCCTTCCCCTTCGTTTCTTGCATTTATAATGAGCATGAGGTGATTTTCGTCTCCAATGATCACCTGGTGCTTATCCCTAGAAAGGCAATTTGAAAAGGATCGGTGCTCTAGTTCTCTGACATCACAGATGCTTTAAGTGCTGATGTGGCAGGAAGAAGGAAGATGGATACAGAGCAGACACAAGTGGGTCCCCTGAGGGGCTGGTGGGATGTGTAAAAAGAACCGGAAAGAGCAGAGGGCCTCCTGCCGGGTGCCAACACCTGTTTAACGACCAGCCCCCAGAGCCCCGATTTATAATATTTGCCTATTTCAGTGGTGTAAATCCCCCTTCTTTGGTCTAATTCAAGTTATCAACATTCTTCAAAACGTGTTAGAAAGCATCCTTGCAAAGCTAACAAGTGGTCCGTGAGCTGCCACGAGGCAGTTCCAGTATGTGAGCCTGGGGGATGGGGAGGATTTAGAAAGTAAGCAGGGGAGACATGTGATGAAAAGTAGGCCATGTGAGGCAAGCGACAGGTAGAAAACCATGCCATCCGAAATAGCTGATAGAGGCTGCTGAAGACATGTGATTCACTTCAAACTTCAAATCGAACCAGCATTTGGAAATGCCTGTTCCACTTTTGGCCCTTACTCAAAGTTATTTCTTTTGACATTCGCTAAGTTGTGAAGTTAAAGAGAAGTCTCCTTTGGGAGGCCAACAGATTCCAAATACTGGCCAGGAGGTCATTCCTATGTGGGAAAGGCACACAGAGGTGCTTTCTCCACCAAAGGATGCCCTGGTCTGTTCGGTAGCAAAATTCAGTCCAGTGACTGGGGTTTGGACTGGTGACTCTGGTACTAGTATTTATGAAGCCCTTTGGTTCTCACTTGGTTTTGACAACTGCTGCTTTATTCCATAAAGTGCCCATTATTTATTTATTTTTTGTCCTCAGTCAATCAAACTTGATTTTGTTCTAACCATTTTAAGGATGCATTTGAGATTGCTGGAGCCTAGCCTACGGCAGTGGAAACAACAAGTCTGGCTGAAGTGTGGATGGCCCGGCCCGCCACGTGTATCCTTCACCTCCTCCATTGACTGACACATGGAAGTAAACAGAACCAGAGCCAATGGGTAAGGGAGACTACGTTTAAGGAAAAAAAAATTATTCCCCCACATGTGATCAAAGATAAAACAATCCAGGCAACCATCTTAGGGCGTAGCACTTGATACCGCTGACAAAAATCATACCCGAACCACAGGACCAATGCAAACTGTAGCCAAACTCAAGAATTCCATGCAGCGTTTTGTGTTGTTGTTTTTGTTTCTTTTGGTAGCACTTTGAAGTATGTGTTTTCTCCAGAAAAGCTTTTAAACAAACACCTGTGTCCCATTAGATCTAATGTATGTGTTTGTTTACTTAAACTTACGGTCGAGCCGACAGCTTCAAGTCAGGAATGCACATATTGTCTTCTCCACAGTCCACCAGGATATGGGCCTGTGTCGTGCAAAACATGCATCAGGAATAGATTGGAAAACCTGAATCACATTCCCTTTCTTGAAAAACAACACCACCACCAACCCCCACCATGCCTCGAATGAAACCAAGGCTTGCCTGTCACCACGTATGATTCTCCTTCGCTATACATAGAACCGATGTCACTCAGTGACCTCCCAATCGGGGCGCGTTTACATCATAGCCCAATCCCAATCCATCCTAAAAGATCTGTAAACAGTGTTACTCTGGCGATGTTTGGAGGGTGACTGACTGCCTTGTTTCCATTACAGCCACATTTTGAACAAATTAAATCTTGGTTGCACAAGGGGAAGAGAGGCTTCTGGAAGCACAGCGATGCAGTGTTTCCGGAAACGGGAAAAATTCCCAACAGCTACACGTTTGTGTGCAGGAATGCAAACAAAAGGAGACTGGTTTGGGCCTTGAGGTCAAAGGCACAACACTTGGGGTCTGCTTGAGCATGAACCTACAGAGATGGTCGGGGACCTACCTGCTCCCTAACACTGTTTTCTCGATAGTAGTTCAGTATTGGCTTCACTGCCAGACCTTCTTGAAAGGTGGATTCATCCAAACTGTAATTCAAGCTAATGTTGATTGGAGATAATTTATCTCGGAATTCAGTTTCATCCTAGGGAAAATAATCACAAACCCAACAAAGGCTCCGTGAAATGACTGCAAGATGTGAGAATGCGCGCAAGGCAGGCGACATTTGACTTTCTTCAATGAAAGTGAACGATGAAGCAATTATCACTGCAGCAGGCTTACACACAGGCTGATTGATGTGGTATATGGTAGCCATGATCATTAGAGCATGTTCGGAGACAAAGTCATTGAACGCTTCGGCTTCACTGGAATACGCGCATAAAGGTTATCTTCAGGTTCCCTAGACATTCCGCATTGCAAACAGAATCAGCCAAGATGCAAAGTATAGACATAATAACCAATACCTGCCCTTAAAAGTTTCATGACTTAGGATCTTTATGCTCATGACCTTGGCAGAAGTGGGGACTCATCCCAAGCTTGGAGGAAGAAAATGTCTTGACTCTCATGTCATCTCCTTACACTAAGCCCCTGCTTGCATGAACTTCAAAGCACCTTCAGCACATGTGAAGTTCCCTCGGGAAAAGCAGAAAGCGGTGTGGGGTGGTACCCAGCAGGAAGCATTGTACACACAGAACCGTGGCAGACTTCATCGGCAGGTCTCCCTGCAGCTGTGTGCCAATCCAGGTCATTGTATCCAACTGGCCATTCTAGATGGTGTTGGTGAACTTTTGGCCTTCCCTGGGTCCTTCTCTAGAGCAATGGTGAAGTGGTTATGCATGGGGCTGCAATTCCCAAGCTCAGCAGTTTGAAACCACCAACCATTCCTTGGGAGAATGATTTTCTATTCCTGCCAGGAGTTACCGTCTGGGAAACTCACTGGGGCACCTTTTATACCCTGTTCTGGGGGAGGGGGGTCACTCTAGGTTGGCATTGACTTTGTGGCAGTGAGGTTGAGGTTCTGAACCCCCTTCAGGAGGCCAGGTAAGGCTGTATCACTGCTTTAAAACGATTTGCAGTTGTTAATTTGGTGGAGAGTTTTGGAATTCTTGTAAAAATTTTACTGTAACATCTATACTAACACCAACACTTGTCATAAAGACGTTGGATGCCTAAATGTCAGCATGCAAAGTTTTCCCGATTGTACTGTACATTTAAGATTTGACAAAACATGCTCACATAGGCTAAAAATGCAGGCACATTGTGTTCAACTCTTCGGTTTTTGTGGAAGTAAGATAGCTAAGATTAAAACCACTTGAGCTGAGTACCATTACAAAGTGTTTTTTGGTGTGTGTTTTTTCTTCCAAATACAAAAGAAGCCTTAGAAATCAGAAGCAGCACATAATTAAGTTTGTTGAAAGAAAGGTCAAGAAGAGAGTGTGTGATCTTAAGTTACAGTTTCCTCCTGGGAAAAGGAAAGCAGACAGATGGGGGGTCTCTGTAGACAGATCTGATGGGAGATGGAGAGAAGTGGTTGGCTTTTGGGTTGGAGCACTGGAAGTCAGAGAAAGGACTCCAGGGATACTCACTCGAAGGTAAACCACCAAGTCCCGGCACTGGTGGGCTTTCTGTCCCTTTACCAAGAGAGCGAAGATGAGATGGGGCTGATGGTTGTCAAGGAAGAGTGTTCGTTTAATGGCTCCTTTTTGCTTCAGTGAATCTAAGTGCACCTCAGCCAGGAGGCCTAAAAGACAGGAAATAGTAAACGCAATCAGGAAAGGAAACAGATTCCATGAATGCAGTGCTCTGTCGGAGAGGAGACTTATTATTTAAAATAGCTCATTCAGGGAAAGATGTTTTGTTTCGTATTTGGCTATAAAAATCTACATAGGGTGAAAAATATTTTATAAAACAATTCCCAACTTAAAACAAAACAAACCTGTTTTCATGGTACTTAATACATTTCATCCTTTTCCCATAATTGCATACTTTTATAGGTAACATGAATGCAATTATTAAGAAGGTTACTAACAAAGGATATATTTTTAAGATTTATATTGTCTGTGCATAAAAATGTTTACTCCCCAAATTCCTTCATATAGTACTGGAATATGAAAATGAACACATGCTTACCTATTGAGTTGGAAATGCTCTGGCCTGCTACCGATGCACACACTCTTAAAGAAAAGCTATGGAAAATAATAGTTGATCATTTATTAGTAAATAAAGTTTTGAAACAGAGGTAGAATTCTTCCTTTACTTCACCCCAGATAAAATGAGTATCTCTTTTCCCCTTCAAATCTCTCTAAGGAGCATGCACACATACACACACACATTTGTGACACAAATATATCTCAAAATGAATATAATAATGCCAGGGGATATTATTACATTAGAAAGTAATACATGAACATACCAGTAGAGACTGATTTTTACCAATAGGCAAATTAAGTATTTGCTCCTTTTGTTCAATAGATACATATTAGTATTGTCTATGTTCTAAGCAGAGAAGAAGCAGGCAGTAGATTAGGGAAACAGCTAGTCCTAAGGTCTCAAGATGCGCACCAACATGGCCCCACTGGAGAAACATAAAGGACTTCGGCGTGATTGGAACAAAAGATGTGACCGCGAGGTCATCACTGGTAAGACTGGATGGATCATCAGTAGCAGAATTTTGACAGTTGTGTTATAGAATTTGGACTTACTACTAAGAAGATGGGTGGATCCTATTATGATTAATTCACGCAGTGTCACCACTCTATCTGGAAGGAGACTGGACCTCTATCAACTTTCTTGGGTGAGAAAGAATTGAGACAAAGAGATTAGTAGAGGGAGCTTAGAAGGAAAACAAGAAGTTTAAAGGGCAGTCTCAAACTAGGCACGGTAAGATGAGTGGAAAGTTCAGAGAAAGAAGATTGAGCCTCATGAGAAACACTTTATATAGTGTTGCTCTGAGCACAGCCCAGAGTAATTTCTGCCGTGGCTTCTGCATGGGCTGGGTCTACATTAGCGGAGGGAATGCAGAGTGGCCTCTTCTCTCAGGCTGTCTTGCTGAATGTATTTGCTCCCTCCTGAAAAATTTTAAACCCTAACATCCAGCATTAGACATGGGCTTTTTATACATTTCTAAGAAGGTGGAAGTATAAGAAAATGCTTAAATATGAGTTAATGACAGCTTTAAAGCTTTTACTAGTAAAATCCTATAGTATGATTTGAATATTTCTAAAGAATGCAAAAGCTTCCCAGAATCCCTAATCATACTTTAATTATGTGTCAGCTTCCTGTGTCAAACATAATGAAAATGTGTCACATCTGGGATTCATATATCTACCATGACCTCAGTCAATGTCTGCCTTCAGGGTAAATAATTTGCCACATACCATTAAGCCAAAAGTTTTCTGAGATGTCAGTGCTATTACAAGTGGTTATACCATTTCCCCAGAGAAATCATAGCATTCCACCCAACTTCTACTTCATTTAAATTATTCAAGAAAGATGAAGGGCTAATCATATATTTAAATTTTTATAGTAGGTCTGGCTTTCAAGATTGGAGGTTTTTTTTTTCCCCTGTGTCCCATTTTTTTGGAAAAAATTGGATGTGTGTCCAAATAGTCCACTGACCTTTTTTTCCCCTGTTGATCATTATACTGCAAAGTGAAAGCTCATTAGCATTTATAAGACAAATTCCTATTTCTAATGGAAATCTCAACATATAAAATAAGAAATTTTTAATTAATCATTTTATTGGGGGCCCTTATAAATCTTATAACAATCCATCATTCAATTTTATTTAGCCCACTTGTGCATATGTTGACAACAACATTTCCAAAACATTTTCTTTCTACTTGAGCCCTTGGTATCAGCTCCTTTTTTCCCCCCGTTCCTCCCTCATCCTTTATAGTTAATCCTTGATCACTTATAAATTATTGTTGTTATTTCATGTCTTACACTGTCTTCTGTCTCCCTTCACCCACATTTCTGTTATTTTCTCCCCCTGGGGGGTGGGCTATATGTACAACCTTGTGATGGGTTCCACCTTTCTCTCCCAGAAATAAGAATTTTTAAAATAATAAACTAAATGTAAAAAAGTGAGCATTATTTGCTTCTAGTGAAAAACTATTCAACTAAAAATGAAAGAATACTTTTTATTGTGGTATACATGTATGTAGAAGGTTGAGCCCTCAAGAAAAGTTGTGAGCTTAGAACTAAAGTCTCAAATCAGATATTCTGTTCATATTCAATGCGATCCATTGGGCTGAATAGGTTTAACCTGAGGCAAAAAACACAGGATCAATCCAGATCTTCCTTAGAAAGAAATTCTAAGGAAAACAGTTTGGTCTCCAGAGGCTCTAATATGGCTATAAGGCAAAACCACACCCTATGTAATCTTTTGACATGCTTTCTAATCTAATGTCTGGTTGGAATAATGGTTCTATGATATAACTATGCTCAAGAGCCATGTCTGATGCGGAAGAAATGAGATAAATCTGAAACGTGATTTCAGAGAAGAAAACAGTGAATTTTTTGAACTAACCAATTATATTTAAGGATAATAAGCATCAAAATTTTTACAAAACACATCCCTGAAATGTGTTTCTCAGGTTTAAAGTGAATATCACTGGCTTTTACATATATAAAATAATACTTTCACTGAATAATTAATGGCCTTTCTTTTTCTAATTGTTTAAAACCATTATATTAATAATTTACTGAGCTGGCTTCCTTCTTTCCCATTTATGAATCCCAATAGCAGATAGTATTTTACAAAATTACATGGCTGCTTGGAAGACACAGAAATCTACATTGAAGGGAATAAAGAATTACTTGCCAGTGAGAGTTTACCTAATTGTTTTCAGATGTACAATACAAGGTTATATCAAATACAGACCAAAATTATAGCAACAAAATCTATAAATGCCTTATAACAACTTTAGGAGACTGAGGTACATTTTTCAGAATCAATTAAAGAAGCATCAGAGAAAATATTCTAGACTATCCCAGTTGTGTATTTCCCATCTTCTGATACTCTGAGCCGTCATTTGACACTTCTGTCAAATTTGAAAATAAGCAGCTTTCAGAAGATGTGCAATAAAACAAAGTAGTTGGAAAAGAAGACATTTTATATTTATCTACATAGTAAATTATATTTCCCCTTCACAATATGATTTAGCACAAGAAAACGTCTCATGAAAAGACTTATCTGGTTAGAAACTAATATGAACCAAACAGATCCTAGACTCTGTCAAGACCACAGAAGTCTTACAAAAATATCCACAAGAGGAAAAATCCTTAGGAAAACATATCTAGTTCACAACAACATTCTACAGCATAGCATGTTTTGTAGACTTTTGAAAAAATATTCTGTGTACATGGGCATTCACTTAGGAACATGTGGACATACCGATCTTGGGTGGAAGAATCAAGTCTCCATCCTAATGCCCCAGTAGCTCCCACAGTTCATTTAATGTTCATTTAATCATGCCAGGGTAAGGAGAAATTGCTGGCCCTTTCACATATTTCCTCAGATCAGGTTTTCATTATAACATTTTATGGTTTTAAACCATTTTCAAATGTGCTCAGGGCATTTCCCAACTCCTTTGAAAAGCTGGTAAAGGAAAGGGCAAACCTCCCTGGAGTGGGGTGCTACCAGCAACAGGATGTTTTCCAGTGAATTCTTAAGGGTCCTCCTTCCTTCCTACTCTCCAGCCTCAGAAGCTCTGCCTCTGGTATGAACTCCTGTCAAAAAGCCTTCAACCACATGCTGAAACGGACTGGAATCACTTCTTTGGGTCGAGCCTGGTTTGTTCTGGACTGTAACAGTTCCAGGAATCAGACATGCTGTCTGAGTTAGACCACCTCTCTTGGAAAAAGAGGAAAAGGCGTAAGCCTTTTAAGTATTTGCTGGTGTTTCAGAGGCTACCCGAACGGCTGACCCCTGAGGAATTACAGCTTGAGGAAGAGGGTGGCAATTTCTTATTTGAGTTGTATCAACTCACCAAGTTCCAGTTAATGTTCCATCAGATGAATGGCAAGATTCAAACAGAAATGATTTAAAAATGTTCTCCTACTGTGTAGACAACCAAAATACAGCATCCTGTACAGACAAAGGAGCCGGAAACCTGCCACCATTCCTGATGATGAGAGCACAGCCATATATATACCATGCAGCACCCAGAAATCTCTGCTTTTATAATGTTTGTGTCTGCCTACTTGTACATGCTCAGCGATCAAACTGACATCTGTTTTCAACACAGGAAACGCAGTAAGTTAACCCTAGCTTGAATTAAAAAAAAGGAAATACAAAGTTCAAGATTATTCTGCCATGCTTTCGTTTTACAAACACACACATACACACCTATTAGTATGCCATGGAACTATAACTCATAAAATCCAGAAGATTTGATTTATTGGCAATTGATCTAAGTGCTTTTATGCTTCCTATCACACTTAGATCCTGGAGACAAAGGAGAAGTAGCCAATATGTGAGAAGTCACTAGTTCAAGGGCAGCATCATGCTATTGATTCTTCTAAGAGACTAAGTCCTTGCTGTTTGCAACGTGGCCACACAGCACGCACACCCTCCTGGAGAGCTACAGAAAAGCAGGATCTCAGGCTCCCGCACAGGTGATTTGTTTCCACCTTAGAGTTTGAGAAGCACAGAACTGACTCACCAGGCAGCAGCTGTCATAGCATCTGGAATCTGGCAAGTTTTATTTTCGAGATTGATGATCATTGGGTTCAGCAGAAGCTGGGCATCCACCGTCACAACTGGCCTGGCTCTGCAGGGAGAAAACGTGACAGGCAGAACCCCCGATAACTGAAAATGGAACTCCATTTCTGGGAGTCATTGCCAATATTCCCAACCTTCCCGCCAAGAATTTAGTGCACTGCATGAACAGGTGGGCACCAGACGAATCCAGTGATCTTAAGGCACATCTGGTAGCTCATGAATACAAATAAAGGATGTTGTGGGGCCTTCCAGCAAAGCTGCCTCCACATCCCAGTCTTTGCAGAACAGGCAACGGTATTTTGGTGATATTACTGATATGGGAGCTGCAAGCATATCTCCATTTATATTTGAAGTAATATATCACGCTACGGTCATTCATGTACTTGCATTTTAGGAAGTTTGTCTCCTTGACTGGGTTTATCTCAATTGATTATGTGTTCGCCAAACCTGGCAGATTTAGTTAAACAGATGAGGGTGAGCTTGCAAAATATCCCATACATCATCCTACATCAATTCTGCCCAAACATTATAATCACCCATGGAACTTTTGAACAAATGCTATGCCCAAGTCCCACCACAGACCAATAATTGAATCAGAACCTCATTAGAAGTTTAAACAAACTTTGCAGGTAATTCGAATGTGCAGCCAAGATTGAGGAGAAAAGCTAATATAAACTAAAACCCACTAGAGTCATGCAGATGAGGCAGCCAGACAAAACAGTAACCCGTACAGGGAGAGGATGGAGGGCGCTCTTTCTACAGCTTGGCTCCAAGTCTAAAGCTGGGAGCCAACATGTGCTGGTGAAACAATGCCATCTTGGATACTCTTTCTTCTGAGAGAAGAAAACCATGCCTTGGGGCAGAATGTTTTTTAGGGCATTGCTTTAAATAAGTTCATGATTACCACAAGGAGGCTCACTGGGGATTTTTTCTAAACGCGTTTACGCTACTTATCTGTTCTTTGTTACGTAATTTTGTTTTCAATATTCTGTTAGTTCCAGTCCTTGGTGAAGCAGATGCCAAGATGGGCTTGGATTTGCATGATATTCTAGGGGGCAACCACCTATCGGTATAAGGGGAAGGAGCAGAGGATGCTGGGAAAGCCAGCTGGTAGAATATGACAGGGGTGTGACCACTGTGAAGAGAAGAGAGAAGGAATAAGGGGTGGATAAGAAAGAGAGTGGTGGCCAAGGTAAGAGTGAGTCCTGGAGTTCTATGCTTTATGAAATGGGTCTGCATTTGTAACCTTGCTGTCCCCAGGCCTGCGTCAGCAGCACTTCATGGAAAATATGGCCCTGATGATGGATTCAGAACACAGCAACTGGGACCAGGCATCATTTCTGCTGCTAAGTTCTGAGTGGTGCCTTTTCATGGTCACCACAAACATGGACCCCCATACTGCAGAGACGCTGAACGTTTCAGTTGTCTGATTCCGTATAAGCTGAAATGGAGAGTGGCTGCTATAAATTGGTCCTCTTTGCTTATTAGTTTGCTTTGGGACTGCTGACAAAAATCTCATTTATGTGAGGAAACCCAACCTGGAATGAGCCTGGGAGTTGAGCTAGGTTAGTGTTATATATCAAGTATACACAGGCATTGATGGTTTTGTTATTAGCTGCTGTCTGGTCAGCTCCCACGAGGCACCCTGGTGGCACAGTGGGTTAACTGTTGGACTGCTAACCTCAAAGTCAGCAATTTGAAACCACCAGACACTCCTGAGGAGGAAGAGGAGGCTTTCTACTCCCATAAAAAGCTACAGTCTCATAAACTCAGAGGCAGTTCTCTTCTGTCCTGTAGGCTTGCTATAAGTCAGAATCAACTTATTGGCAGTAGGTTGAGTTCGCTTCTGACTTAATGTGTTGCTTCACAAGATTTCCTTGGGAGTAATCTTATCCACAGCATTTCACCAAGCCTTTTTCTGTGGAGCTGGAACTGTAGGTTCAAATCACCCTTCTTAGCAGCTGATACCTGATCTCCAGGTATGCTCTCTGCCCTCTGTCTTGGCCTATTTGCTTCCTATTTTGAATGTCAATCAAATTATTCTTAAGAAACAAGAAGAAGCACGAGGAAAAAGAAGAGAAAGGAACTAACATTAGAACACAACTATCTAGTTAATATTGCTGTATCTTACGTATAGGTTTTTACTTCACTTTTAAAACAAAAATAGGGTGGAGGGATGGTGGGGTGGAAAAGGGGAACCGAATACAAGGATCTACATATAACCTCCTCCCTG